TTTTTAGTCGCTTGCTTAAACCGGATTACTGACTGGGTCTCACAAATTTACCATCAACCGAGTAACTGTCAATTACAGAATTTAGCGGGAATAAAATATGAAAAGTGCGAATATTTCATGTGCCAAGTGATACAATATATACAGTATGTGTATATGGCGCAGCAAAAAAAAAAGGTTTCTTGCTTGATGTCATAACTTTTGCATGCTATACAATAAATGACTTATAAATATATTATAAAGACAGAGAATATATTTACAATATTATGATTATTTTCATCCTTGTCGTCAACGTCATAATTTTGTTTCATTTTTCCATAAGGAATTGTCCTCGCTTCATAGTCAAGAATTTGAACTTTTGGAAGGTGCAAAGGAAGAATCTGCCTCAAGTTATTTTCGAGAATACATTTTTAATTGATGGTGAGTGACGAATTATTGGTTTGTAAATTTTTCACACTATCAATTTCATAAATTTCTTTTATTCAAGAAATTTATGATTGAATAAATGGAATCCGGTACAAGGTATCCATATAATGAAAAAATTTTATATTCACCCTTATGTCAATTTTTGCGGTGCAGCTCGTTTCTTTCCGACTCTCTTGCTTGTATTCTTCAGGGTACATAGAAAACCTGTATAGTATTTTTTTTTTTCACACATTATTAGAATACATACATTAAACAAAAGACCACACTATACAGGTTTGTTTCTTCAAGCTGGTATTATCATAGGATGAAATATTACATCATTATGAATGTGCAAATAAATGTAAAATAATTCTTTGTTTTATGAAATTTTTTTTTTATTTTAAAAGTATATTTGCATATTTTGAATATCAAACTTGAATGTTCGTTTAGAACAATTTAAACTCAAGTTTCTGACTAATTAAGCCTATCTCATACGGAGGTCTCGTAATAGCGAGAATAAATGATTGATTTGTTGTACTGACTGTATTTAAAAAATCAAATTTGATCTACATATTTCAAATCAAGATTTCCATTGTGATTTGCTATTTAGAACCTTGCTAATTTAACTTTGTGTATTTGGCGTCATATTGTATCACGGATCTTAATATTCATTGTATAAATCCTAATTAGGTAACTTTGTGCAGTTAAAGAATGCCTCGATAATAAATTAGGAAAAATTAAATCTTTAATTATAAAATTATAAAATGAAATGGAATGGATTTTCGTAAACCGAAATTTTTTTTTCTTTTTTTTTTTAAAAAAAAATGAAGTTTTTATAGCCCAGCAGGAGTTCCTTTCCCAATGTTTATCACATTATTTTATGTAATTTACTTCGTTACTTATGGAGTTATGGGCTTAAACAATGGAGCTGATAGGACTCCCCCAATGGGATGGAATAGTTGGAATAAGGTAATTTATTTACTTCGACATTCGACATGAATTACAAAATACGAAAATTAGATTTATTAAATATATGATTATTTAGTTTCATTGTAATATTGATGAGAAATTAATTAAAGACACCGCTGATGCTTTAATTAAACATGGATTAGCTGATGTTGGTTACAAATATTTGAATATGGGTATGGATTATATACTTGTGTGTATATATATATTTTAAAAATAAAACCAATGAAATGATATTTGTAGACGATTGTTGGGAGGGTGAAAGAGATGACGACGGATATATTCATGCTAGTAAAGCAACGTGAGTTCATTTAATTTATATGTATATCAAAAAATAAAATATTCAATACCTTTGATTAAATTTTTTTTCTCTGCTTTTTATAAGATTTCCGAGTGGAATTAAAGGTATAAGAATATTTCGATCCTCTCTAATTTCATATCAACTTTGATCATTTTTTTAACCTGGCGTATCTTTGATTTTATAGCATTATCGAATTATGCACATTTAAAGGGACTTTTATTTGGAATTTATAGTGACGCAGGATATCTTACATGTGCCAAACGACCCGGAAGTCTCGGTAACTGTATACCTTTTCTTTATGATATTAAATAAGTGAATTGCTCTTTTTGTAATTGTCTAAATCTTCTACCTTTTATAGGATACGAGGATAAAGATGCGATGACATTTGCGTCATGGGAGATCGATTATTTAAAATATGATAATTGTAACAACGATGGTACACCGGAACAACAACGATATCAGGTAAGAACATATGAACCCTTGGAATAAGTCAATGTATGCTAATTTTCGGTATTTATATTCTTTTCAACCCAAGGTTATGCGCGATGCGCTTAACGGTATAATTCTATTTATTGATTTAAAACGTCGACAGCGATAGTATATGCATATTGATAACGGAAAGCTTTTGTTTTAATTAGCTACTGGAAGGCCTATATTTTATAGCATTTGTGAATGGGGGTATGAAATTCTATCATTGTAAAAGCGCTATACATATCATCTTATGATTAGCGCTATCCTGTATTTATTGTAGGAGAAGCTCTCCGCATCTATGGGGGAATTCGGTTGGAAATAGGTAATGAAATTTTTTTCTTGTTTATATGCTGCTAGCATATATCATTTATTTATTTATTTATATTTAAAAAAATCAAACTCACGATCAGTTGGAGAACAACAGGGGATATCCAGCCAAGATGGGGATCTATCTTAAATATACTCCGAAAACAAGAAAGCATTACAAAATACGCAGGTCCAGGTGGTTGGAATGATCCTGATATGTTACAAGTTGGCAATGGTAATTTGACGATTGACGAACAAAAAAGTCATTTTTCTTTATGGGCTGCTCTAAAAGCACCTCTTTTACTTGGTTTTGATGTAAGTTTGATAAACATATTTATATTGTTATTTTTTGAAAAAAAAAAAAGATAAAATCATAAAATAATGAAGCAATTAACAAAAGAATTTTTTTGCTTTATAGATCAGGACTCCACCCGTTGAAACTTTAAAAATTGTAAAAAATACCGAGATTATTGCTATTAATGTAAGCATCAATATAAAATTTAGAGGAATTCTGTGAAAGGGAAAATGATTCACTATGGTTTTTTTTTATATAGCAATATTTATTGGGAAAATCTGTAAATATTGTTCAACGTACAAGTTCTTGGGATATTTGGGCTGGGGAATTATCTGATGGTCATGTTGCTCGTGAGTTTTTTTTTCATTTCTTTTCAAAGTAATATCATTTATTAATTTATTATTATGGTTTGTCTAGTATTATTTAATAGGGGTGAATCACCCACTATCATTGAATTAAATTTTGCTGCACATTTAAACATTAGTGGAGCAGTTGTAGTCCGAGATTTATGGGAACATGAAGATAAAGGAATTCATACAAATAGGTAATTATAACCATTATCTGATCCTGTTCAAATAAACTTGACTTAATAATCATAATCTTTTTTTTTTTTTAGTTATTCATACCGAGTACCAAAACACGGCATAACTGTATTAAAACTTACCGGTGGAACGAAGATGTTGGAAAGTGATTTTGTGGTTCCATATGGTGATGGTGGTAATGATTTATTCGACGAATATTATGAAAATGCATTTTATAGAAATTATTGATAGGGAGAGTGTTTATATATCAATTTTAAAAATATTTGATTAATAATTTGAATAAACAAAAGTAAACGTAAACCGTCCATATTAAACTTATTTTAGTTTCCAATTTAATTTCTCATTGATAAATTCAATTCATATTCCGATTTGTATGTATTATTATGATTTTTTGTCAAAACGAGATTGAAATTATCATTTGACGTTAATGCGTTTGCCAATTTTTAAAAGAGCATTTCTATTTACAAAAAAAAAAAAAAAAATATTTAAATTTTCCTTTGAACAATTAGAAATTAATTCCTTTTTTCATTTTTTCAAAATGTTGGGCGAATTCCATTTACGAAAATGTTTTGAAAGAGATCCAATTCTTTGAAAGAAACCAAATTTTCCTCAATATAATCGTAATTGAAGTTTACTTAATAAGTTAAAATTCGATATCAAATGAGTATATTCAAACCGTTAAATTTTGATTTTTTTATTGTAACAATTAATGAGAAAAAATCAATTCGAAAAGGCCCAATCTGATATACAGAATTTTTAATAGGAACATTGAAACATTGGGACGGTCTCAAAAGGCTGGGATGTAGAATGTACAATGACGCACATTACCTATTCTAAAAGAGGCAACGCCATATAAAGGCATGTACCAAGCATATGTAAAATTTCAATTTTGTTCTTAAATAAAGTATCGCTACATTCAATACAACCAAATTAAGAATTGTTTTGCCGATCAAAAAAATTGATTTTTTAAAAAAGTACACGTATAAAAAAAGTTTTGATAAAAAAAAACTGTTCTTTCATTTTACCCAATTGAAAAAAATAAATATAAATTTTATTTGAAAGTGACCAATATATGTTTTCAATCGTCAAACTTTAATTATTTTATCCTATAAATGGAACTTGCCAAAGACAAGTTGATGAAGAAACTTATGGTAAGACACGAAAAGAAATTATTGGTTTGGATATAATTTAGAAGGAAAATTTAGACTTTTCTGGATTTGTTCGCTATTTTATGCGCTCTTGAAGAAGCCAATTTTTTTTGTTTCTCGCTCGTCACATAATGTTTTTTTCCACGCATAGTTGTTTTGGCGTGATTCGATATATTATCGACCGATATGGATTATCCTCTTCGTCAATGAACTATTAAATTCGTTTAATTTGGAATTAAAAAATTCTTTCTTTTTGGAATTTTCATCACTTTTTTCCAATTTGTTTTTCGGTTCTAAAATCACTAAATTTGCAAATTGAATAAATATGAATTCATGAATTTTAAGGGTAATTACATATATTTTTATATTACTACTAGATAAAGCAATTAAAATAATAATATTATTACCAGGAGAGGGTAGACATAAAATTATATGAAGCGAGATATACTATCCAAAGCAAATTACTCGTAATTATTTTATTCATCCTCAGCAATTTAAACTAAGTAACAAATAACTAACATTTTTTCTCTTTCCTTTTTTTTTAATAGAAAAATCTTGCCGTATTTTTTACGAAATTTCGAGACTTAACGAAAAAAAGGATCCTCTTATTGGTTGGTGTATTTTACACCTTATACAAATATGAATATAAAGTATTCACTTTTTTACTTCATAAATTTTTTTTCTGCAAATTTAATTTGATTTGATTAAGATACAACTTACTTTGTTAAAATTTTTTGAAAGTCGAATTTATTTGATCTGTAACACAATCAAAGCATTGTTTAAATCCTAAAACAAAATGGATTAACATTTTCAAGGAAATTTTGTTTAAAAGCTTTTAAAAATTAATCCAGGATTAACATTAACAAAAAAAATATTTAGAATCTATTTTTGGATCTTAATTATCCGTGTTTTTACACCAAAATTTTACGAAGAAAAAAAAAAGGTGAGTATCATGTTATTATTTTATAATGAAAATCTTTCCCGTTCTAACTTTAACATATAGTATTTGTAATTTTATATCATTGAAGCTTATAAGATATAATCATGACTAGTCAAAAAGTTTTGTCTAATGAAGATGAAGATATTACCGAATTTATTCTAAATGCACAACAAAATGCTAAGGATGAACGAGAATTTTTAGAATTGATACCTTACGATAGATTAGTAAAAGTAAATTACCTTACCAAAGGTGGATTTAGTACTATTCATAAAGCCATATGGTTGGATGGACCAATAGTTAATTGGAATCATTCTAAAAAACAAGGGGAAAGGTCGAATAAAAAAACCGATGTCATTCTTAAAAGTTTTAATAATCCTTCAAATTTGTATGAATCTTTAAAAGAGGTACGATATTAATTCTTATACAAATTTCATCTTGATTAAACATTAATTACGTTTAAATTATTTTATCATAGTGGAAATATCATCATGATTGTTATAAAAGATCACATTCTAATCTTATTCAATTATATGGAATCACTCGGAATCCAGATAATTTAGAATATAACATGGTAATGAAATATGCAAACAAAGGAAGCTTAAGAGAAAGTTTACCTAATATAGCCACTTTTTCATGGGATAAAAAAGTCGAGTTGTTATGTAATATTATCACTGGACTTGACGCAATACATCAATCAGGTTTCGTTCATTGTGACCTTCATGACGGTAATATTTTAATAAACAGTAACCCTACTTCAAATTATATTAGCGATTTGGGATTGTGCAAACCCAAAAATTATCATCAACTTTCTACAAATAATAGCGATAGTATTTACGGTGTTTTACCTTACACAGCACCCGAAGTATTAAGAGGATCTCCTTATACTCCTGCGAGTGATATTTATAGTTTTTCTATGATAATGTGGGAAATTATAACAGGAATTCCCCCATTTTATAATATAGCACACGATTTTGAACTTGCCTTGAAAATTTGTTTAGGTGAACGTCCTAAAATTCCTGAAAATATTCCAAGTTATTATATAGATTTAATGGAAAGGTGCTGGGACTCCAATCCATTAAACAGGCCAACTGCAGAAGATGTTAAAAAGATTATCGAAAGGTTTGATTCAGAAGAATTTTGGAATGCAGAAGTAGATTGGGTTTCATCAAACAAGGAAAATTTCCATAAATCGCAAACATTAAACAACATTTCAAAGACGATATCAAGAGAAATAATAGTAAATCATATGATAAAAACCAATTATTGCTCTCAGGTTTACTTTTTTCCTTTGCGATGATTATATGTTTTAATTTATTTTATTAAAAAATATTATCTTTTTAATATAATGAATAGCTTGCAAAACGTTAATCAAATTTGATTTAATATTAATATAAAACTTAATTTTAATTATAATATTTTCTTTTTTTTAAAAATATATATATATATATATGTTTTATATAGTTATTAGAATAGAATATTTTTGCTTTTTAAAAGTATATTAATTTTAAAAATAAAATGTTATTTAATATTTTTTATAATATTTACTTCAAAATATGAAATTATATGTGGGATTTTTGCTATAGAAAAGGGAAAATTGTCAGAAAAAGTAAGATAATGTCAAATCTGAATATAATTTAGCTTAACAATCATATTTGGCATATAAAATCAAAATTGATTTTTTCTGGCAGTTTTACTTCTTTTTACTACAAAGATCTCATATGATTATAATATTATAATATATAATTTGATAAAGAATTAATTATTGTTCTAATCTAATATTAGAAAATTGAATAATTTTAAAAGGTTTTAACAGGTTTTGAATACATTTTCCTATATTCAAAACCTTATCTAACTATATCCACTATACATTTAATATCATTTAATTATTATATACATCTTATGTGAGCATGATCCTTTTTCATGAATATTATTGATTACTTTTATATTAAAATAAATTAATTTTATTTAAATATACAAATTCTATTTATTTATTATTAGAATACACAAAGTTTAATTACTTTATTATTAAATATACTAATTTTAATTACTTTATAATAAGCAATCATATTATTTATAATTATGTTAGTTTTAGATTAATATTTAAGTTATAACTTTGTAAAGAGATACTAGATAAAAATTTAATTATAATATTGTTATTAATGAATTTCAGTTATTAGTACTAGATAAATGCTTTCAATTTTACTATAAGAAGTAATCATTAGGAAATTAGAGTGATAAGATGGTATAAAAGATACTATTACGTAAGTTTTTATATTTTTGATATATTAACTTAACTTGAATTTTGAATATTTTGTGTTGTAAAAGCTTAAGTTTGAGTTTGAGCTATAGAAATTTATATTTCTCGAATAGTAGATATAGATGAATCATTATATATCACAACTTTTTATTAAATCTTTCAACAACTCAAAATCACTTTATAGTATTTTTTTCAATATTTGAAACTAGTGATATTATTGTATTTATTTCAATATTTAAACTAGTAATATTGTTGTAATTCATTAATTTTCATGTATTAAAAATTGAGAAGTTTTTATAAAATTTATAATTTCTTTATAAAATTTTTTGAAAAAGTAAAAGAATTTAAAAAGTTTGTAAAAAAAACATGAGAAATAAGAGAAAAAGTTTAAATGATCAATAATATTTATATAAAAAAGATCAATGCTTATACTATATATATTCAATAACCTTATTATCAATTATGTTTAAATAATAATTGATTTACATATATAGAATGCTATTATATTATGTGACCTTTGATCATATAATAAAGTAGTAATTCTAGTATATAATCAATTATTATCTACAACATGATCAATAACAATTACTTATTTATTATATAGATTTAATTAATAAAATTAATAATATCTATTAAAATTAATAAAAAATTATTAATAAATTTTTAATAAGTTTTTTTATAATAAAATTCTTTCTAATAATAAAAAAAAAACATTTAAAAAATAAATTAATATATATTTATAAAATTAAATTTAATTACTATTTATTATTAATTTTCCTTTTTAATCTTTAATTTCTTTTTATTTTTATAGATAAAAATGAAATTAAACCTATTACTCATAATTAATGAAATAAACATTTTGATTTTTTTATAAATTAGAAAA